AGACTTGGTCATATCCTTACGAGCAGCAATGAGACTCAGTACCTGTTGAGCAACCATGCGAGTCCTTCGAGGATTCCTTAGAGTACAATGCCAAGCTCGACCAGGTCCTCACTCTTTTGGCATCCCAAGCGGCCCGTAAGAGCAACCTTGAGTCCCGAATCGAGGAACTTGTGGAGCGCGTGCAAGCCTTAGAGGATCGAGCTACCAATTCCCCCCCTCCCGATATCACCACTCAAGGCGGACCTACATACAGTAATGAACCTCGGGAGGTTGCTCTGACATACGATGAAAAGCTCGACCTCATCCTTGCTCGCATATCTGCCTTGACCACTCGAGATGTGGAGATTGAGCTAGGGTGTGCTCGACTGAGCACACAAATAGAAATTCTTGCAGCACACACCAGCTCAATCGAGGCAGAAGTCGAAGACCCCCACTTTAGGCTTGCTACTCGAGCCCGTACGTTGAAGCAACTGTGTGAGGCTGAAGAAGAGGATGATAATCTCCAGCAAGACATTGATGATATTTCAGAGGAGAAGATCCACGGGCTTGATTCTCAAGTCCCTCCTCCCATCTCAGAGTTTGAGCACCCGTCTCCGAGGCCGCTACACTGTGTTATAAAGTGGGTGGGATTTAGTTCGACTTGCTCCACAGATGAGCTCGTACTTTCGGAGGTTGACAATAGAGATCGAGTGGAAAAAGCTCTACGTTTTGAGTTGGATATTTCTCGTGCCCGAACCAGCTTTGCCCAGAACATTGCCACTCAGATCCACTATGCCCGCCTTCTGGCCTTAGTGCCAGTGCTACCACTTCTGGAAAATACGAAGGCGTGGCACGACCGTCACTTCTTCTTAGACCCCGGATGAGTTCTCTTCAGGTTTCGTCAAGCTGATGACGTTAAACAAGCGCTTCTTGGGAGGCAACCCAAGGAATTTACTGCTTTCTTAGATATTTTTCTTTTTGCTTTTTAGCTTTATCTTGGAATAATGGGAGTTTGGAGTTTCGTGATTTTCTTATTGGCAGGAATGAGTTCGCGAGGCTGATCATAGGCGAGCCGCTTACACATAGATGCTTATCCTCCTCGAGGCATTTCGGTTTGCACACTCTTTTCTTTATTTTTACCCTTTTTGAGTTACTTCATGCCTTTTCTTTTGAGTCTTGTGTTCTTGTGGTGTTTGCTAGTATTGGTTCATTTTATAAAATTGCTAGGTCCTTTTATTTGAATTCTTGGTTTATGTTAAAGCAATGAGGTCATTGCCTCATTTTAAGTGTGGGGGAGTCTAGTTGGATTTTGCATGCTTATGTGGTGGACCGATCTAGCTGTAGGTTTTTGTTTTGTTGAGCATGGTATTGGTGGATTATATGAATTGTTGACGAATGTTTGATGAAATTGGGAAGTTGTGATGATGGACGTGTGGTCATTGCCTCAATATATGCTTGATTGCTTTGAGTGACATTTATCTACCTTGTGAGGTTTTGAGCCTTACTCTTTTCTTGTGAGATATGGGTCATATTCTTGAATGATTAGAACTTGCCTTGAGTTTGTTTGAAAGGGATCGATTAGAGTTTTAAATTACGAACATGATTGAGGCGTTTTGTTTGATTAGCTCTCTTTAGCCTTGTTCTTTGATCCTACACGTTAATTTCCCTAGAAGCCTGTTTGAGCTTTGAGCCCTTTTCTTGTCAGCTGTATATGTGATGTACTTTGTTGACTAAATTGGTGATGATTGGTGAAAATGGTGTTGATGTTGAATGAGGTGAATTGAAGTTGGATTTCTATTGCTTGACCTATTAAAAAAA